AAGGATTGGAGACAAAAACCACTTAACAGTAGAAAGAGTTTTTATTTCTGGAATTTTGAATTGTGTCGTTATTGCAGAGGTCTATCGATATGTAGATGGTTTCTGAAGTTATAAATAATTTTGCGTAGACAATTTGTGAGTAGACATGGATGGAAAACAGGCGTTAATGATTATTGTTAAAGTTTCTAAAAGAAATTGCCTAGTATTAAGCTTTTTAAAGGTTTTTTCAACGCACTCACGTTGAATATTCTATATGGAGCAAAGCATATTGGACCATATGAATAAAAATACATAAGTAATTGCTTTTCAGAACTTTTACTCGATTTATTCAAACAAAATTTAAGTAAAAGGCATGAAATTATAAGAAAAAGCAATTGCTTAAGGTGTTCTTACATGATATGTATTAGCATGTGTACATGCAACTTTTTACATATGGAAATGCCAACATCTCGTGTAAAGGCATATTAGATTTGTTTCTGTACAAAGCAGATCCACGTGCATACGAAATTGTAGAAATGTATCTATTTTCATCTGACAGATAGAAACATCTGAGTTTAGTTTATTTCGTTTTCAAAGAACGTATTTTTAAATTGTTAAATGAAGACTGTGAATTTGACAGACATACGCAATTACATTTGTATTGAAAAAGTCACATTTATAGATGCAACTGGCATATGCATATCACCTTTAGTTTTCATCCATACAGCCCATTGATCAGGGAGCAGCAGTAGAACAGCTTACCCTACTTTTTCGAGAATATCGTCTTTAAATTGTCATTTTTCTTTACATTTTACTCTAAAATATCAAGCTCTGTTTACGTATATGGATTCCAAAACCAACAACCAAATACACGTAGCTTGCTATTTTTCTCGGGTACTATTACCTGTCCGTGCCGCGGTGTGGATATTATTTTAAATTTTATGAAAAGAGCAGATATTTATTGGGCGAAACTTCAAAAAGAAAAATGTTGCTGATTATATGAGGGATGGTTCGACATGGGAAACGCCAAAGACGAAGGCTACCTTGAGAATGTTATAAAAATTAAGAAGGTTTCAAAGATGGAACCTTCAACGGTACGCTTTGCAATTCAGCTCGTTCGTATCGCAGTTTTCGTATTACTGAAAATTACCGTTATATGCGAGGTAGGCGTGGTTATTGTCCGATTTTGCCCATTTTCAATACCATCCGTCCTACGCTGAAAAGAAGTGCACATACCAAGTTTCGTTAAGATATCTAAATTGTTATTCGAGTTATCGTGTGCGCAGACGGACGGACGGACAGTCACCGCTTAATCGATTTCTTTTTTCATTCTGATCTTCTTCTTCTTCTTATTTGGCGCTGTAACCGCCTAAGCGATTTTGGCCGAGTCCAAAACAGCACGCCAGTCATTTCTCTTCTGTGCTAACTGACGCCAATTGAAAATGCCAAGTGAAGCCAAGTCCTTCTCCACCTGGTCTTTCCAACGCAGAGGAGGCCTTCCTCTTCCTCTGTTCCCAGCATCGCGGCCCGCGTTGAATATTTTCAGAGCAGGAGCGTTTCTGTCCATCCGAACGACATGGCCAAGCCAGCGGAGCCGCTGAATTTTAATTCGCTGCACTATGTCTATATCGTTGTAAAGCTCATACAGCTCATCGTTAAATCGTCTGCGATATTCGCCATCACCAACGCGTAAAGGTCCGTAAATCTTTCGCAGAATCTTTCTCTCGAAAACTCCAAGAGCCGCCTCATCAGATGCTTTCATTGTCCATGCTTCCGCGCCATACACCAGCACAGGCATGATGAGTGACTTATAGAGTGTGATCTTTGTACGACGAGAGAGGACTTTACTTCTCAATTGCCTACTCAGCCCAAAGTAGCACTTGTTGGCAAGAGTGATTCTCCGTTGGATTTCAAGGCTGACATTATTATTGGTGTTAATGCTGGTTCCCAAATAAACGAAGTCGTCTACTTTTTCAAACTTGTAACTGTTAACAGTGACGTGGGTGCCAAGACGCGTATGCTCTGACTGTTTGTGTGCTGACAGGAGATACTTCGTTTTGTCCTCGTTCACCACCAGACCCATTCGCTTTGCTTCTCTATCCAATCCCGAGAAGGCAGAACAGACGTAGCCCTTGTTTTTACCGATAATATCGATGTCGTCGGCATACGCCAGCAATTGTACGCTCTTATAAAGTATTGTGCCTGAGCGGTTCAGTTCTGCGGCTCTTATTATCTTCTCCAACATAAGATTAAAGAAATCACACGAAAGGGAGTCCCCTTGTCTGAAACCTCGTTTGGTATCAAACGGCTCGGAGAGGTCCTTCCCTATTCTGACGGAGCTGGTGGTATTGCTCAACGTCATTTTACACAGCCGTATTAGTTTCGCGGGGATACCAAATTCAGACATCGCGGCATAAAGGCAACTTCTCTTCGTGCTGTCGAAAGCGGCTTTGAAATCGACAAATAGATGGTGTGTGTCGATCCTATTCTCGCGGGTCTTTTCCAAGATTTGGCGTATTGTGAATACCTGATCTATGGTGGATTTTCCAGGCCTAAAGCCACACTGATAAGGTCCAATCAGCTCGTTGACGGTGGGCTTCAGTCTTTCGCACAATACGCTCGATAAGACCTTGTAACCTATGCTTAGAAGGCTAATTCCGCGGTAGTTGGCGCGTATGGCGGGGTCGCCTTTCTTGTGGATTGGGCAGAGCACACTTAAATTCCAGTCGTCGGGCATGCGTTCATCTGACCATATTCTGCATACGAGCTGATGCATGCCCCTCATCAGCTCCTCGCCGCCGTACTTGAATAGCTCGGCTGGCAGGCCGTCAGCTCCAGCAGCTTTGTTGTTTTTCAGCCGCGTAATCGCTATTCGTACCTCGTCATAGTCAGGCGGTGGGACAGCTACTCCATCATCATCGACTGGGGACTCGGGTTCGTCTTCCTCACTACTTTCAGCGCTGCTACCATTCAGTAGGTTATAAAAGTGTTCCCTCCACAATTTAAGTATATTCTGGACATCGGTCACTAGGTCGCCATTGTTGTTCTTACAGGAGTTCGCCCCGGTCTTGAAACCTTCCGTAAGTTGCCTAACCCTCTGGTAGAATTTTCGGGCGTTCTTCCTGTCGGCCAGCATCTCAAGCTCTTCGCACTCACGTATTTCGGCCTCTCTCTTCTTATTGCGGCAAATACGTCTCGCTTCCTTCTTCAGTTCCCTATAACGGTCCCACATGGCTCGCGTTGCGCCCGATCGCAGCGTGGCCCTGTAGGCGGCATCTTTTTTCTCTGCGGCTTCTTGACATTCCTCATCGTACCAGTTGTTCTTTCGGGCTCGCTGAAATCCAACTACTTCTTCGGCGGCGGTACTTAATGATCGGGAAATGTGGTTCCACTGCTCGCGTACGTCGGATTGTTGAAGAGTGCTCTCAGAGAGCAGGTGTGTGAGTCGAGTGGCGAATAAATTGGCCGTCTGTTGTGATTGCAGCTTTTCGACGTTAAGCTTTCCTTGCATTGTTGGGCGCACATTTTTTGCTGCACAGAGGCGGGTGCGTATCTTGGCTACAACAAGATAGTGGTCCGAGTCGATGTTTGGCCCTCGGAGTGTACGTACGTCCAAAACGCTTGAAGCATGCCTTCCGTCTATCACAACATGATCGATTTGGTTTCTCGTTTTTCGATCTGGAGACAGCCATGTAGCTTGGTGGATGTTCTTATGCTGGAACCTAGTACTACATATTACCATATTTCGGGCCCCGGCGAAGTCGATCAGCCTCAGTCCGTTATCGGACGTTTCGTCGTGGAGGCTGAATTTTCCGACAGTGGCGCCAAAGATCCCTTCCTTGCCCACCTTGGCATTAAAATCGCCAAGCACGATTTTGACATCGTGTCGGGGGCAGCGCTCATATGTACGTTCCAAGCGCTCATAGAAGAGATCCTTGGACGCCTCATCCTTCTCTTCCATCGGGGCATGGGCGCAGATGAGCGAGATGTTGAAGAATCTAGCTTTGATGCGGATTGTGGCTAGACGTTCGTCCACCGGGGTGAACGCCAGTACTCGGCGACGGAGTCTCTCTCCTACCACGAATCCAACACCGAATTTGCGCTCCTTTACGTGGCAACTGTAGTAGACGTCGCAAGGCTTCACGCTTACTTTACCTTGCCCCGTCCATCGCATTTCTTGGATGGCGGTGATGTCAGCCTTTGTCTTCCCGAGGACATCAACCAGCCGGGCAGAGGCACCTTCCCCATTAAGGGTCCGGATATTCCAGGTGCATACCCTTAAATCATAGTCCTTTATACGTTTGCCGTGGTCGTCATCAGAAAAAGGGGGTCTCATCCGAGGCTTGTTGGAATTTTTCATTGGGCGGGGTTTTAACGTGGCGGGACCCAAACCCAGCGCACGCGAAGTTTTACGCCTTCTCACTTTAGCTCGCTCCCAAACGGGTGTTTGGTTGCTACCCAGAGGATACGTGGATATAAATATCCGGACGTTGTGAGCTGCGATTTGAACCGTACGCACAAGAATCGCTTCTGGCCACTCCCAGGTGAATGGCAGTCAAAAGTTTTCCACTTCTGCGCACGGAACCATCCTCCTTTCATTCTGATCATTAATGTATAAATTTGTCTATATCTGTATTGATTCGTTTTGCCTGTTACAAAAAACCTTTATGTGGACAAAGTTATAATACCCTTGTGCGCAAGTTCGCTCGGGTATAAAAAATAGGGGCATTAATATGGACAAAGAAAGTAAGAGTGCCTACAAAAACAATGTAGGACCAAATGCACAAAGACCTGACTACATTAGGGATGAACCGACAAACGGTTATAGCACCGAATCTGAATGCTCGCTGCGAATACGAAACACAAGTCAGTGACGGGGGTCCCTGTTGGAAGAGAATACCTATATGCATGTATGAGATATACCCCAAGTTTTTTTACATACTACAAAAGAGATTAATAGCACAAAAAGAACAGATTTATTTTTGTATGTTTCATATAGTTGTATTTTTACAAATACTTACATGGTCCGTAACAATTTGAGGCCGTCGAAAGCGCCATCCTCAATGCACTCCATGTGCTGCAAGTCTGTTAGAACACTATTTGTATTTTCGTTATGTGCGGATAGAAATAAAGTTAGTACCATAAAATAGACTGTGCCTTTTTTGTTGTCGTATTTCCCCTACTTACAAATCCTGCAACGAACTTGCATACTTCTTCAGGCCGGTCGTGCGTACTCGCGGCAGCCCTGCCGACGAGATGCTAAGCCTTTGCATCGGCACTGCAAGAGTTTGTGGTACGCGCATTAACGCCTCTCCCTCACAATGGCACTCAATTTCATCCTGCAATAGAAAACAGAAATAATTGTTAATTGCAGTCTAATGCTTGCAACACATTGAAAACAGCCGACGACGGGCTACATCGTTCAAATTATTATAACACGTAGTATGATTTATAAGTAGTTTGAACTCGACCCGGTTACAAAACGAATTGATAAAGTTTTAGATGTAGCCAGATGCACATATTTCTATTTAGACAATCCACAAGGGCTGTATTTTCCTTTTTCCGTTCGGCATCTGTAATTGCCGTAGTTTGGAGTTTTCCAAAGATATTATTACAATTTTTGAGCTAGTATCTTTCACAAAATAAATTGTCAATTATGGATATTTAAAAATACCACTAACTCCTAAATACAGCTACACAGAATACTTTACACTTTAAATTCCAAAAACGACTGTTGTTAAACAATGTAATGCAAATAGGTTTATATGCGCAAATCACTAATAATCAAATGCTTCCCAACCTGTTACACATTTTGCATATAAAAAAGCCAAACATTGAAATAAATTTACCTAAAGGTACATCAAAGTGGTTCAAAAAACTTTATTTTGGAAATTCATAAACGCTACCTCAAATATTTGTTATTTGTGATAAAAAAGAGAAACGTGTTTTTTTATTTTGAAAAAAAGTTTTCTTAGATGTCACGCTGGTCGGTTTTTTTAAAACGCTGATGTTCTCAATTTTTTTATTTTCTTGACATGTTAAAGTGCAGCTAAAAGTGTGGTTGTTACATATAACACTGTAATATTGGACCAAACCAACTTTTCTGAACAGACTGAGTCATAAGTAAGAAAAGTAATTTCTCCGTTTTTCGAAGTTAGCCTCCGAAATCGAGATATATGGATTCGAAGTTCGAAATTTAACCTTTAGTAAAAAATTATCTTTAATTATTGCATGTAAAAAGCAAAAAAAGTGAAAACACACCCATGGTCCGCCTATTGCTCTTATTTATATTGTATATAAATTTTTTCGTGAAAATTTATATTACAGGTGCTATAACGGGTCAAAAGTCAGATCTTCGAAAAATTTCAAACTTAATATTTCAGAAATTTTTTAACTGATTTTTAAAAACCTTCGTATTGTTGTAAAGGTGATTTAACCCCCTTTCTTTTGATATGAATATTTGTATACTTCATATAAAGAAATTTGTGAAAAAATGCATTTAAATGAAAAAATAACTTTTTTTGTATAAAAAAATATTTTAAACAAAAAAAATACTAACCGATTTTTAAAGTTGGTATCTTTGTAAAAGCGATTGAACTCCCTTTCTTATTATATGCATATCTGTATACTTCGTATATAAAAATTTGAGAAAAAACACTTAAAAGGAAAAAATACCAATTTTTCTTATAAAAAAATAAAAATTACTAATTAGTAATACAATTGAATACCGCATTTAAGTAAAACAAATAATTATAAGTGTTTAAAGCATTAATTCGTTCTTGTTCACCCACATCCCTGTTAAAAATAAAGCAAAAATTTATGTAACAGAAGTCTAAGGCATATAAAACAAGTAAGAAAGTCTAAGTTCGGGCGGAGCCGAACATTAAATACCCTTGCAAGTATTAAATATATGTTTTTCACCATTTCGAAAGATACCGCTACATGGTAAGCATGGTGTATTAATTTTGAGTAAATTAGCGTCCTTAAATTTCGAAATATTGAAATTTCAAGCATTTCTGAAATTTACCGTTATATGAAAAGCGGCCGTAATTTAGTCCAATTTCAATAATTTTCAACGTTTTGCTTTTACGTGGCAGGCACAATAACCATACCGAGTTTGGTACAAATTGGTAGAACGGTTACCGAGATACATATATGTGATCATAAGTGGGCGGTGCCACGCCCATTTTACAAAATTTTATCATAAACTTATATACATATACATATCGTAAAGAATTGTTGCAAGCATCAATTTTGAATAAATTAGCTTTAATATTTACTGATTTATCGAAGATTTTGTATTTCCTTAAATTACCGTTATATGGGATGTGGACGCAGTTATTGTCCGATTTGAAAAATTTTCGGCCATTTTGTATGCTGTAGCATATCCAACAACTGCGCCAAGTTTGGAAGAAATTGGTACAGCTGTTACCAAGGTATACACATGTAACCATAAGTGGGCGTGTCTACGCCCATTTTCCAAAAATTTACAATATTTCTATTTTTCGTCTAAAATTTATTGTAAATATCAATTTTGAGTGAATAATCTTCAGTAGTTACTAAAATATCGAAGTTTTCGTATTTCTGAAAATTACCATCATATGGAAAGTGGGCGTGGTTACAGCCCGATTTCGCCCAGTTTCAATACCAACCTATCTCGGATAAATGAAAACCTACATACCAAATTTCGTTGAGATATCTCAATTTTTGCTCGGGGTATCGTGTACACTGACGGACGGACAGACAAACATGGCTTAATCGACTTCTCTATTCCTTCTGAGCATTTATGTGTACATTTGTCTATATCTACCATTATGTGAGCAAAGTTAATATACCCTTGTGAACAAGTGCGCTCGGGAATAAATATACAAACACCATGGTGTTTGATTTTTTTACATAACAGGTTATATATGAAAATGCAAGGTAATTTTCTGTTTTATTTAAACAAAGTATTCAATTGTATTACTAATTATTAAGTTTATTGTTTAAAATATTTTTTATAAGAAAAATTTGGCATTTTTTCCTTTTAAGTGTTTTTCTCAAATTTTTAGTTACGAAGTATACAAATATGCAAATCAGAACAAAGCGGGTTTAATTGCCTATACAAAGTTGTGAATTGTTTAAAAATCGGTTGGTAATTTTCTGGTTTAAAATATTTTTTTTTTATAAAAGAAGGTTACTTTTTCTTTTAAATGTGGTTTTTCTCAAATTTTTTTATGCGAAGTATACAAATATGCATTTCAGAAGAAAAGGGTTTAATGGCCTTTACAGCGATACCAGTTTATTAAAAATCCGTTAGTATTTTTTTGTCTAAAATATTTTATTTTTATAAAAAAAATGTATTTTTATTTCCTTTTATTAACTCGGGATGTAACTATATAATATTGATGCGCCTAAAAGATGCAGCGATTCCTATTCTCAAGTTATATACATACAGTCGAATGGCAATTATAGCCGTCATCGATTCTCCAACAGTTAGCGAGTAGCGAAACGAACGAACGCAATGAGGTACAACCAAACTCGCTATCGTCTATCCGTGCTAACTAACTTTGTTGTTGCTTTCACATGCAAAATTTTTCGTTAAGCGACCGGAACTCAAACATAGCAAGCAGCGAAGTGGCGAATCGATGACGGCTTATAATAGGGAGGTTTTAGTTGTTTAAACTATAATTTTATTTCTTTAAACGTGTTTTTTTTTAATTCTTATTTACCAAGTATGCAAATATGCATATCAAAAGAGAGAGGGCTTAATCGCCTTTATAACGATACCACCCTTTTAAAAATCGGTTAGTAATTTTTTTGTAAAATTTTTTTTTTTTATAAAAAAAGGTATTTTTTCTTTAAATGTATTGTTTCTCAAATTTTTATATACGAATTATACAAATATGCATATCAGAAGAAAGGGAATTTAAGCGTCTTTACAACGATACCAATTTTTTAAAAAACTGTCAGTAATTTTTTTTGTTTAAAATATCTTTTTTTTATGAAAATCGGTACTTTTTTATTTAAATGTGTTTTTTCTAAAATTTTTATATATTAACAAAGTCGGTCGCTGTGGTGTAGTGGTAAGCAGTGCGCGCTTCCACTCCGCAGCACCTGGGTTCAAACCCTGGTCAAAGCAACATCGCAAAAAATATAGAAAAAAGGGTTTTTCTTAACAGCGGTCGTCCCTCGGCAGGCAATGGCAAACCTCCGAGTGTATTTCTGCCATGAAAAACAGCTTCTCATAAGAATACAATCTCCGTTCGGAGTCGGCGTAAAACTGTAGGTCCCTCCGCTTTGTGTGACAACATCAAGGCGCACGCCACAAATCGGAGGAGTGCTCGGCCAAACACTAACATATGTGTAAGCGCCAATCTATTATTATATTATTATCATTATTATACAAATATGCACATCGGAAGAAAGGGGGTTTAATCACATTTACAACGATATACACTTTTTTATATTCAGTTAAAATTTTTCGAAGACCTGAACTTGTAGCACCTGTAATATAAGTTTGCACAAAAACGTNAAAAAAAAAATACTAATTATAAAACGTTGATACTGAACGTTTTAAACATTGTCAAGGGTTGAAACTCGTTTCCAGTGGGTTTCTGGGGTTGCTTATTACGAATCTGATGTCAGATTTTCAAAATTCAAAATGGCGGTTAATAGTTAAAAAAAATTCAATCATTTGTTTTTAAGTTGGACGCCATTTTGGATCCACCATTTTGAATTTTGAAAATCTGACATCAGATTCAAAATCAATAAGCTCAGAAACCCACTGGAAACGAGTTTCAACCCTCGACAATGCTTAAAACGTTCAGTATCAACGTTTTAATTTTAGTATTTTTTTTTAATTAGATCACCATATGGGATCCGAAATTTTGAATTAAAAAAATTTACTTCAGATTCGTAATCGGCAACCCCAAAAACTCTCGAGTGCCGGGTTTCGAACAGATCCAATCATTAAAAAAAAATGGATCGCCATTTTGGATCCGCCATTTTGAATTTTGAAAAACTGACTTCAGATTACTAATTAGAAATCCCCGGAACCCCCTGGTAACAAGTTCCAACCCATGACAACGCGTAAATCGTTCAGTATCAACGATTTAATTTTACTAGTCTCTTATCGAGAGCATATTTTCGGGCACTAGGCCAATTCTAGCTGACCAAGACAGGTATGTAATTAAGGGAATGTTCCCCAATAATACCGCAGTAATTATATGTAAAAAACACATTTCTAGCTGCATTTTAATACGTCAAGAAAAAGTAGAAACATCAGCGTTTTATAAAAAAGTGACCAGCGCGACCTCTAAGAAAAAAAATTTTTTTTTCAAAATAAAAAATACGTCTC